TAACTCATTACAAATATTGCGTTACTGGATTTGAGTGGATTGTTTGTTTTACCTTCGTTTCAATAGAAAATGACACAAACGGCTTCATAAAGATCCTGCTCCAGTGTCAGGGCCAAACATACACCGTCATAAGTAAAAGTTTAAACATGTGTTTTGGTCATGTGATTGGACACATACAGTATAAATTGATATGATGAGATTAGGTTTCGATGGATCCATGTCTGGCATATTCCCACGTTCATGTGCGTCAGTTTTTCTTCCCTTTGTTTATGCCCTGAAAAAAGTACTCATTGAGAAGACCTCTACCTGCTTCATATAAATGTTCTGTGGACTGAAAACTTCCACAGTTTGGATTTCACAGTGGGTGATGGATTTGTATTTATTGTGAATGAAAAAGGGGTTGAGTACACCCGCTTGCATCACAAAAAGTAAAGGTTTTTATTTGTCATAATAATGTGGCTTTTGAAGACGAGATTCCATGATCAAATACCAGGTGTTTTAACCATATTCATACAACCAGGAGTAAAACAACACACATTCACAAGCACAACCATGTACGTCTCTCTTTAGACCAAATTATTCAAATGTGAATCCAAAATGTCCAATTTGGTGAAAGAAACAATGAGAATTCTGAGATGCTCCAAAAACAGTTGTTGGTCTTGTGATTTGTGTCTCTTGGAGAGAGAGTTCCAGTTAAACATAAAATGTCAGACAATCAGGCAGTTTTCCAATAAGTCTTTTTATCAGAAAAAAATATGATCAGCCCTGGATAGTGTCTGATTCATGATGTGCAGAACTAAAACACTACAATTACTGTTTGACTTTGCACACCTGGTTTAGCGCCTGGATTGAGTAGTAGTAATCTTTATTTATATACCGCCTTTTCACTGCAGATCTGAGTCTCAAAGCGGTTTACAATTGTTAATTTTGGGCATTAGTCTCAATCAATCAATCAAATTTTATTTATAAAGCGCTTTTCATACAAAAGTGTAACACAAAGTGCTTTACAGTTTAGTTAAAAACAATCCAACATGCCCAGCCCTAAACCCTCCTCCCCACAGACCCCCCAAAACCACATTTATAATTATATATACAACCACATGCGTACACACACACACACACACACACACACACACACACACACACACACACACACACACACACACACACACACACACACACACACACACACACACACACACACACACACACACACACACACACACACACACACACACATACATACACATACACATACACATACACACATATATACACACACAAGTATAAAGTCATATCAGGTAAAATAGGTAAAACAATAAAAAGAAATGGGGCTGGGAGCAGATGTAACCGGCTGAAGAAGCGTCATCCAAGGAGCCATCTGCACCAGGAGCAGAGAGCCGGCTGCAGCCACAGGGAACGACACAGAGGAGAGAGGGGCCCCAGACCCCATAGGACCCAGAGGAGAGAGGAGGCCCCAGACCCCCGAAGCCACAGCAGACCCCAGCTCCCAGTGCAGAGGGCTCCTCCAGAGGAAACACTGGGGACACTAAAACAATACAATAGAAAGTAGAACAATAAAATGTGACAATAAAAAGAAAAATGGCAGCTGCCTAATATCAATCAATCAAATCAAATTTTTATTTGTATAGCGCCCAACAACAGCCAGAAGGTGCCCAGGGCGCTTTCCAGGATAAAACAAGAATCACAATAGACACCGATAAAAACAAACACATAAAAAAGAACAGCAGTCGAGTCAGTGATTATGCATTGAATGCTTTCCTGAAAAGATGTGTCTTCAACTGTGATTTAAAAACACTCAACTCAGTGATGTTTCGAAGCTGTACAGGAATATTGATAATAACAATAGTAAATGGGTGGATAACAATAAATAATTAAAAATAGTAAATAATAAAAATAAATACAAATATAATGTGTCTAAAAACATAAATAGATGTACTAAAAAGCAATAATAAATACTAATCAAAAGCTACTCTAAAAAGGTGCGTCTTGAGCCTACTCTTAAAAATATGAACGTTCTCTGCGGCCCTGAGCTGCTCCGGCAGACTGTTCCAGAGACGGGGGCCGTAGTGCTGGAAAGATGCCTCGCTCACACACAGAGATGGGAGCAGGGCCAGTACAGCAGCCACATGCCAGACCTATTGTACATGTTTTTAGTGGTAGGGGAAACCGGAGCACCCGGAGGAAACCTACAGACACGGGGAGAACATGCAAACTCCACTCAGAAAGGCCCTGGTCCTGAGAGGCAAGAGTGCTATCCATCCATCAGTGATGCGTGTGGGGAAAAGGAAAAGATCAAGGCAAGTTTTGGGTTCATACACAAACAGTGCTCATGGATGAAGTTTGGCTCCAGCTCGCTCTGGCTCCTATTGATTGATATTGAAAAGTAAGTTCAGGATCATCATTTTAAAACTAACATATATTTCTTCTAAAGTGACTGAGACATCGGTCATCTGACCTTTTTATGGACCAAAACTTCCACAGTTTGACAAAAAATCTATCGCTGTGTGTGAATGAAGTGTGGTTTTACATATAGTTGTAACATTCAGAATCAGAATAATTTTTATTGCCACGTAAGTAACAGGAGGTCACAGACTTGGAAATTGCTTTGGCTCAGTGCAACAGTCAGAAAGAGATAATAAAAATAAGAATTAAAGCCGCAAGCGGCGATGAAAGGCCTCGCCCCTCTTGCGACCGCCTCCTGGGCGCCGGTCCCACAAGCGTCACGCCGACGAATTGGCAGCCCGATCTGACCAGGATTACGTACATAAAAGCTAATTTATATGATAAAGTGCGTCCCTAGTGGTCACCTCCGGGACATGCACCCTCTACGTAGAGTAGTATTTTGCTCGTACAGATGTAAAGATTTGATTTTGCAACTTTGGTGAAGATCGGAAAAGTTTAGGTCAGAAGCCTTCCATAGGTGGCGCTGTAGAGTCATATTAGGTGTGTGTTTTCACACCATTACTCTCAGGTCATTACCAACTGTTAGCGATGTGAGTTTCAGCTCTGTAGGTCTGAGCCTGTGGTCAGGAGAGCATCAAACATGGAGAAATTCCCCACTACCTCGCATGAAAACGATAACAAAATTCTAACTTTTATGCGATGATTGCATAACTTCAATCCGTCCAGATGGAGAAATGACATGGTAGAAGTCTGTGCGATGAAAATCCAGGGACTAGTACGAAGCCAAAAATGCAACACCTTGAACTGCCTGTAGGTGGCGCTGTTGCACTCACAGTTGTGTGTTGCATATCGTTGTGTTCAGGGTCATACGCTGTATTTCTGAATTCATTTTTAGCCTCATCGGACAAACATTTTGCCCTAAAAAGCTCATTCATTCACTTTCTGGCGCCCCCAGTGGTCAGGTGTGGGACGTACAACTTTTGCGTAATGTAATGTTTTTCTCATCTCGGTCCAGAGAATACACTCAGCGATTTTCGGGCCGATCCGAGCACTAGTGTCCTATTACTTTCCGACAGGTGGCGCTAAAGAGCTCATATTGGGCGAATGATTTTAGTGTCATTGCGTTCAGGCCATAACCTAATATTACTGATGTGAGTCTCAGCTCTGTAGGTCTGAGCCTGTGGCCCTCAGGGCTCAGCGAAAATGGCCAAAACGAAGGCCTTATTCGCCATGGCGAGGGACGAAAACGGTGAAGATTTTCTAACTTGTTTTTGATGATTATATAACTTCAATCCGTCCAGATTAGGAAATGACGTGGTAGAACTCTGTGTGATGAAAAACCAGGGACTAGTTCGAATTTATAAATGAAAAGTCAAATTAGTGGCGAAACTTTGGCCCATCATGGCCGACTTCCTGTTGGTCCCAGACATGTGCTTAGACCGGCTTTTATGCTCGTCTCATAGAGATCTATCACTCATCCGAATTTCGTGTACCTACTCCAAAATATACAATCCTGCCTCCAATAGAAATGGAAAAATTTGAATTTTCAAGGGGGCGCTATTGATTCGCCTTTTGTCGGACAATCTGGAAACGTCCGTTTTATCAAATTTTTCGCCGGACCGGTCGTTTTAGACCCCCCATGTGCAGACTTTCGTGCATGTCTTCAGGGTCAAAAATTGAATTGAAGATGCGGAAAAAGAATAATATGAAACCGGTGAATAACAATAGGCCTCCCCAATACTTTGTATTGGGGAGGCCTAAATTGGGGAGGCCTAATAAAAAACACTTCTAAAGAATAAATGTAAATTTAAAATAGAGTTACTATATACAATATACAAGTGCACATGGTGCACACAATGTAAGGTGACAGCAGTACAGTGAAGTAAAGTGACGTATGATGGGCAGTAAAGTGACTTTATAAAGGGCGGGGGGACAGGTTAAGAAGTGTTCAAGAGTCCAACAGCAGAGGGGAAGAAACTGTTCTTGTGGCGGGAGGTTCTAGTCCTGATGGACCGCAGCCTCCTGCCTGAGGGGAGTGGTTGGAATAGTCCATGTGCAGGGTGAGAGGGGAGTGGTTGGAATAGTCCATGTGCAGGTGAGAGGGGAGTGGTTGGAATAGTCCATGTGCGGGGTGAGAGGGGAGTGGTTGGAATAGTCCATGTGCAGGTGAGAGGGGAGTAGTTGGAATAGTCCATGTGCAGGTGAGAGGGGAGTGGTTGGAATAGTCCATGTGCAGGTGAGAGGGGAGTGGTTGGAATAGTCCATGTGCAGGTGAGAGGGGAGTGGTTGGAATAGTCCATGTGCAGGTGAGAGGGGAGTGGTTGGAATAGTCCATGTGCAGGTGAGAGGGGAGTGGTTGGAATAGTCCATGTGCAGGTGAGAGGGGAGTGGTTGGAATAGTCCATGTCCATGTGCAGGTGAGAGGGGAGTGGTTGGAATAGTCCATGTGCAGGTGAGAGGGGAGTGGTTGGAATAGTCCATGTGCAGGTGAGAGGGGTCGGCTGTGATACGACCAGCCCGGCCTCGAGCTCGGGCGACGTACAGGTCCTGCAGCGATGGAAGGCTGCGGCCGATCACTTCCTCTGCAGAGCGCACAATGCACTGTAGTCTCTGTTTGTCCCTGACTGTGGCTCCAGTGAACCACACGGTGATGGAGGAGGTGATGGAGGAGGTGATGGAGGAGGTGACGGAGGAGGTGACGGAGGAGGTGGCGGAGGAGGTGATGGAGGAGGTGATGGAGGAGGTGATGGAGGAGGTGATGGAGGAGGTGATGGAGGAGGTGATGGAGGAGGTGACGGAGGAGGTGGCGGAGGAGGTGATGGAGGAGGTGATGGAGGAGGTGATGGAGGAGGTGATGGAGGAGGTGATGGAGGAGGTGATGGAGGAGGTGATGGAGGAGGTGATGAGGAGGTGATGGGGAGGTGATGGAGGAGGTGATGGAGGAGGTGATGGAGGAGGTGACGGAGGAAGTGACGGAGGAGGTGACGGAGGAGGTGACGGAGGAGGTGACGGTGGAGGTGACGGAGGAGGTGACGGAGGAGGTGATGGGGAGGTGATGGAGGAGGTGATGGAGGAGGTGATGGAGGAGGTGATGGAGGAGGTGATGGAGGAGGTGACGGAGGAGGTGACGGAGGAGGTGATGGAGGAGGTGAGGAGGAGGTGACGGAGGAGGTGATGGAGGAGGTGATGGTGGAGGTGATGGAGGAGGTGATGGTGGAGGTGATGAGGAGGTGATGGAGGAGGTGATGAGGAGGTGATGGAGGAGGTGATGGTGGAGGTGATGAGGAGGTGATGGAGGAGGTGATGGTGGAGGTGATGAGGAGGTGATGGAGGAGGTGATGGTGGAGGTGATGAGGAGGTGATGGAGGAGGTGATGGTGGAGGTGATGAGGAGGTGATGGAGGAGGTGATGGAGGAGGTGATGGTGGAGGTGATGGAGGAGGTGATGGAGGAGGTGATGGTGGAGGTGATGAGGAGGTGATGGAGGAGGTGATGGTGGAGGTGATGAGGAGGTGATGGAGGAGGTGATGGTGGAGGTGATGGTGGAGGTGATGGAGGAGGTGTGGAGGAGGTGATGGAGGAGGTGATGGTGGAGGTGATGAGGAGGTGATGGAGGAGGTGATGGTGGAGGTGATGAGGAGGTGATGGAGGAGGTGATGGAGGAGGTGATGGTGGAGGTGATGAGGAGGTGATGGAGGAGGTGATGGTGGAGGTGATGAGGAGGTGATGGAGGAGGTGATTGCCGTTTTTGGTGTTTTTCAACCAGCGGGCCATGGACTGTTTGTGTGCCTTTGGGAATAAACCCACTCGTTACTTGTGGTCAAAATAATGTGAAAGGAAAATACTGTGAAAAGATAAGAAAGATGTTGATACACTTTGATTAGAATGACTTTGTAGTAATAATACATGAATAAAATGTATCAGTTTTTGGGAAGGTTGGAGAACACTGGGTTAGAGTGCTCATTTATTTGACTAAAACACACTTTTAAGATACAGTAAGTTAGGAGTCCAAATCTTGACTTGTTTTCTCTTAAAAAAATGTAGTTTAATAAAATCTATCATGGTACTTCCTGGTTGGTCAAAGTAACATTTACTCAATGCTTATGGAATCTTTGTTGAGCACTTTTCCTACACAAGCTAACAAAGTGCTTCACAGCTCCTATCACATAAGGCATGGAATCATAAACATTAAAATCACACAAAATATTTCAAACAAACTAAAAGCTCACAGGTGTCATTCCAGTGAGAACGGTAATGTATTTTTTTCTTTCTCCAGCAGTCATAATGGATCTTTTACTCTTACTGTTTTTTTACTTGAGTACTATTGTGCAGTAATCTTTCCACAGTTGGCTGGAAGAGGCCTGAACCAGATGTGTAGCAGAGGTGACTCACAGGGATGACGTCCGCATGGTTCACACACACTCACACACACCCACGCACCACACACACGCACCACGCACACGCACACACACGCACGCACACACGCACGCACACACGCACACATACACATATACCAGGGATTAAAGAGTTCCGTCTAGGTGACGGATTTCCGTCAAATGAAATTGGTCTGGAAAAAAAAAATATATATATATATAATGATAATAATACACACAATGAAATGATTGATTATAAAAATAATATATAGTAATACATATACGTGTGAATCTGTTATATATATATATCGATGTATATTAATAATTTGAATATAATTGTATTTATATGTATATAGAAATAATAAGTAATATAATGACGAGTGGGCCTTGAACGCGCCGTGGCCACATGAGCGCTCCGCAAATGAATCAAGGCAATGGGACGTAGCTGAGCTCACGCGCAAATGAAGACGCGATGAAGTTAGCATTGGTAACACGGAGGTGAAAGTTTCTGGAAACTGCACGGAGCTTTTGAAAAGGAGAAGAGGAGGAAAATTGAATCTCGAACGGAGCAATAACAGCAGCAGATCTGCGGACTGGTAAGCAATGCTATTTTACTTAACGGAATGTACAAAACGGACTTTGCTGCAACTGGGAATGGGGACAAACATGTCTTGGTGAGCTTTTGATATTGTCTTGTTTGCGATCTTCTTGTAAAACTCAGCGTGATGTAAAAGAGCCAATCAATGAGTCATGGTGCGAAAAGATGAAAGTGGCCGGTGCTTGTGCGTACTTTGCCATAAAAAATTGCATGTATGGGAGTAATGAGAAAAAAGTTTTGATTCGCCACCAGCTCAAAACTGCGCACAAGGCAGCTGTTTGTGCACTTTCCCACACTTCATCTTTACCTGGTGCATCAGCAACAACTGACACTAGGCTTGCTCTGGCGGACCGTGTCTGTGGCTTTATTGCAGAAAATAACGTTCAGAATGACACTACCGCTGGTACATTTATTTAAATCATTTGCAGTTGATCGAAGTGCACTGTGCACTCAAACTTGATAGGGAAACCTTTTTCTTAAATATTGACGTGTCCACAAACAAATGTGGACAGAATTTTATCGTCCTTTTGCAATATTTTGACGAGGACAGAGCCAAAGTGTTGACGCTCCATATCGCCTCAAGTAAAGCTACTCTGTCAACAACATATACACACACACATACACACACATACATATACACACACACACACACAAACACTCATACACATATACACACACACATACACACACACAAACACTCATACACATATATACATAGGTACACACACACACACACACACGCTTGTATGTGTGCCTATGAGGAGACTTTTTGGACACGTTCTTCAAAACAAGCAGCTTTCCTCTGCCGCAGTAATGTCTGGTCAAGGATCATTACCTCGTGTTAGCAAACAGCCCAGTGTCACTTATTATCTGGGGCCGAGATGGAAGAGCTGGAAGGAGTGACTCAAATAAAAGTAGTGCTTCTGGTAATAATAGCTCTGAAGCTGTAGTTTTTATTGAACGGTTTGATGGTAGTGTCACGTTGGAGATGATTCATTGTAACTTCTTGTCCATAAGCTTTTAATTACTGGCTTACAAGCTGAGTATGTGTGTTAAAGTATTAAGTTCTACGTCATGGTGCTACGTCCCTTAGGACTTCGCTAGTGGGATATCACGTGACCCCCAGGTCACAGACGCCAGAGAGATCAAAATAATTTGCTCCAATCACCAGCCACCTTCCTCTATAAATGCCCCTGCACAAGGCCGCACCCCCTCTTTCACTCTGGCGCCTTTTGAGATCTACATTCGTTACCTGAGAAAGAAAGATGTCTTCTGATGCACGTCCGAGTTCCCCTTCGCCATCCGGCGTCGGACGTCGTCGTTGCTCGACCTGTCGGGGCAAGCTCCAACGCAAGGACCAGCACTCCAGCTGCTTCATGTGCCTGGGTGCGGGCCATGCGGCGTTGAGCGCCACCTGCGCCTCGTGTGTCGCTCTCCCCAGGGAGGAGAGTGAACGCAGGCGCGCGTTCTTCGCCGCTACAGCGCCCCGTCCGGACTCCTCTAAGGACGAGGAGTCTGAGATTGACTGGGCCCCCCTCGACATTCCACCTGTGCCCGCGGAGTGGGGTGACTGCGAGGACGGAGAGGTGTCGGAGGTCGGCTCTCTCCTCACGCTGGACGAGGTGGTGTCCAACCCGGAGCCGGACCGCTTCCCGCTGGACCACATGCCTGGGCTCTACGCCACGGCGGCGGCCATCATGGATGCCCCCCTGCCACCGCAACCGAACCAGAGGGTGGAGGACTTCACCTCTGGGTACGCAGCCCCTCGAGGGAGGAGGAGAGCCCAGCCCACGTTGTGCCCGCGTATGGACCCGATCGTCCATTACGCGACACGTGAGTGGCCAAAACCCCTAGCGGCCAAGAGGCCCGCTTTGGGGTATGGCATGTACTGCAACGTGCAGGACTGGTCCTGGACAGGCGGGGTCCCGGACATCGAGGACTCGGTTCGGGCGGCCCTGCACCCCTCCTCATCCGTGTGGCCCAGCACCAGACCTCTCCTTCCCTCCGAGCGGGATAGGATGTCTCTGGCTATGCATGACAGATGTTACGCCAATGCGGCTCAGGTCGTCGCGGTGGCGAACAACATGGCTTTCATCACCGGGGCCCTGGATAGGTCTCTCTCCTCTGACCAGGCACTCAGTGGAGACACCTTAGCCCAGGCGAGGACCACTTCAGCAGCGATCTTGCGCATGTGCCAAGCGCTAGCTGTCGATGGCGGCCGCACGATGGCAGCAGCACAAGTTGGGGCCAGACACCTCTGGCTGGGGTCGGTGAATCTCAGAGAGGCGGAGAAGAGGCAGCTGCTGGACCTGCCCATCTCCCAAACGTCACTCTTCGGTCCGGAGATGCAGACGCTGATGACGAGGCTGGACAGCGCGGCTAAGGACTCGGCTAGCCTAGCAAAACACCTAGCTACGAGACGCGAGGCCCGCCCACCAGCGCGGAGCCGAGACAGAGGCAGGGAGCGCTCGCCTGGCAAGCGCCCCGGACCATATCCACGCTCCGTGGTCCATCGTTCCCCAGCGGCGAGACCCCCGGGCCCAGACAGGCACACGGGAGGTTCGCGGGACCAACACACCCATCGACGGCCTCCCTACGGTAGAGGAGGTCGGGGTGGTAAAAACTCTTTCAATAAAGGCCGTCCGGCATTTCACCAGTACTCGCTGTCTGAGTCTCATTTGGGGGTATGTAACATGTCAAATGATTTGAATTCTGTTTGTGTTACTTCTCGAGCATATAACGTGGCTCCGCCAGGCCTGCAGCCCCCAGAGAAGGGCGTGCAGCGCGCTGTGCAGACCACGAGCTCCGATTCACGGGTTCATGTTTTGCCCTCCCGGAGAGAGGGCAGGCGGAGGGATCTGATAAGTGCTAATGTGTGTGCTCCGGGCGCTAGCGTGTTAGCATCTCTGAGCTACAAGGCTAACACGGGGTTTCCCAATCCAGGGGCTCTCCCCCCCCTCCATGAGGCAAGAGCCAGGGGGGGGCGCAGCAGCCGTGTCACGCGTGATGAGCAGAGCTACATTGCTAACACGGGGTTTCCTAATCCAGGGGCTCTTCCCCCCCCTCCATGAGGCAAGAGCCAAGGGGGGGCGCAGCAGCCGTGTCACGCGTGATGAGCAGAGCTACAATGCTAACACGGGGTTTCCCGATGCAGGGGCTCGCCCCCCCCTCCATGAGGCAAGAGCCAGGGGGGGGCGCAGCAGCAGCCGGGTCACGTGTGGTGAGCAGTCCCGTACTTATGACGTCGGACCTGCAGAACACGTGACCGCCCTCGGCGCTCACGGTGTGACGCAGGGGCCCCCCCGGCCCTTTCAGCCACCCCCCCTCCCTGCTAGGAACACCAGGAGGGGGCGGGGCCATGACGTCTCGTGTTCCAGCTCCCGTTCCGCCCCTCACAGATTTCTACGACATCTGGAAGGAGCAGGGCTTACTGTCAGATGTTTGGCTGGAGAAAACTCTGCGCAGAGGTTACGCTCTGCAATTTTTCCGAAAGCCACCACCATTCCGAGGCGTACGGGCAGTACGCTCTCAGGTACGGGGATCGACAGAGGCACTGGAAGCAGAGGTCTCCCTCCCTGCTGAGTCGAGGCGCAGCAGTGGAGGTAGACCCGCAGGACGCCACCAGGGGGCTGTACTCCCCTTACTTTCTGGTGCCAAAGAAATCAGGCGGGGTGCGTCCCATTCTGGATCTGCGCGTGTTAAACGAGTGCATTTCCAAACGGCAGTTTCGGATGCTGTCCACAAGGCAGCTCCTCGAGTGTGTCAGGGAAGGAGACTGGATGACATCCATAGACCTGACAGAC